CAAGAACGCATCTCTTTTCAGTGCTGAATAATATTCCATTGTTGGGATGGGCCATAATTTGTCACCTTTAAAGGACATCTGGGTTGCTTCCAGGTGTTGGCACCTATAAATGTAGCCACTGTAAACCTTTGGTGCCAGTTTTTGGACACTAGTTTTCACCTCCTTTGGGTAAGTCCAAGGAACCCAGATCTTGATTGCACTGTTAGAGGATATTCCATTCAAAAAAAAAAACAAAAAAACAAAAACAGAACCAGCCTTGGTCAGGTTGTGTTTGGAGCAGCCAGACCATTTTGCACTCCCTGCAGTCAGTGGGGGCCTGCAGGCCCAGGCCCTCCCCAGCTCCCAGTGGGGCTCGCATTCTGGGTTTGGGCCACTCCCAGTGCTGTGTGGTGGCCTGTCTGCTTTGTCTGTMTGTCCCTGGTGAAACTGATGTGGAGTGGTCCCTGTATGGTTTGCATATCTGCAATGTCCCTTTTGTGAGCTGCCTCTTGAGGTCTTTGACCTACTTTAAATCAAGTCCTTTTCCTATTGTTTGACTTTAATAGCCACTTGTGTATTTTAGATGATATTTTATCAGATGTGTCTTCTGCAGATACTTCCTCCTAGCCTGTGGCTGTGCTCTCATTCTGTGGGGGCAATGCTGACTTTGCGTTGGGGTCAGTGGAGTTTCTGAAGTGCCATTCAGGAAGTACTGCTGTAAGCAGAACTGCCATCGGCTGGTTTCAATCCTGCCAAGGTGCTTTGAAGTTGCTTGATCCGATTTCATGTTTTTTATGCTCTTGATCCAAAAGCTGGTTTTCTTTTTCTAATTTTATTGGTGCTGCTGCTATTTTGCAGTTCTGTGGATTGAACGTGGGCCCTGAGTGTGCTGGGCAGGCACCCCGCTGGGCTGCACCCTACCTTGGCTTCCTCCTTACACACTGCCAGCGTCCTGGTCCCTGGCTTCCATGCTGTCCCCACACTGCTCCTGCCCACAACCATGTGCATGGACGAGAGGACTAGCTGACTAGCGCACATTAGCTGGGTCGTCAGGGAGCAGCTGACAGCTTTTCTAACGGAAAACAGGACAGCTATCCCCAACTTAGGACAGGTCTGTGTGACCGTCTTCTGACTTTGTGACATGAGGAAGTGGCAGGCAAGGTAGAAATCACATTTCAAACTTTGAGTTTTGATCTCTTCCAGGCTAGTGACCTGGTAAGATGCTGCTGTCCACTCTGGGCAGTCCTGTGACGACCAGAGAGCACGTACCCTTTGTGTGCTGCAGAGCCGGGACCAGTAGGTTAGTGAGGTTTCCACTAAGATAGGTATTTRGAGATGATGTGCTGTCCTAAGTCCAGGAGCCTCTGTGGTCCCTGTGGGCTTTCCAAGGGTGGCACACCCCATCTTGTGCCTGTCTCTGAATGATAGAATGATGGGCAGCTGGCTGTCTATGTCTGTGAGCATTGGTATCCTCAGCCCGATGCGAGGCATCAGAGCTGGTGGGACCACCTTCAAGGAAGTATGACTGCCACATCCATGCTGCTTGTCAAGAATTGCAGTGATGGCGTCCACCTAARACTTGAGCCGAGCATGGGGTGCTGTGCAGATACACTGTCCGGTTGGCTTTTCTTGGGCTCGGTACACAGTGGCCTTCCCCCAGCACACTGGGAAGTCACGTGCTTGGCATCCGTGTCTGTAGATTATAAGAGCAGGACAATAGAGGAAGTTGTTGATTGGAACAATTGCTGTCTGAGTGCATCTGCAGGTCCCAGCAAAGCTGCTGTCCCTGAGCACAGGGCAGTCGCGGCAGTGGGTTCCAGGGGAATGCTTCCCTCGGTGCTGGGAAGATCTGTCTCATGCAGGGAGGATGCCTGGAGAGGCCACAGCTGACTCTTGAACTTGGCCTTCTGGGCGACTGGAGGAGGCCGGGAGCTGCCGAGGGGGCAGAGCCATCACACCRTGGCTTGGCTATTCTCCTCTGGCCCCGCCCTGAAAGGGAGCATTCTAGTGTTTTTTGGGATCTCAGAGACACCAGTGCTGTATGGTGTCTCTGAGCCTCTTGAGAGGGGTCAGCTGCGCGGGCTGTGGCCACATGTTCATGGACAGTGAGCTGGTCACACTGCCCCACTGGTTGTCCTGCAGTGGCGGCCRCTGCCCTGTTGTGCCCCAGTCATCCCTTCTGTATGCCTCGCGGGCCTTGTCACGTCTCCAGATGAGGGCTGTAGGAAGTTCAGGTCAGTTGGATGAGACCAGCAGCGTCCTCAGTGAGGAAGTGGGAACGCACCCCGAGAGTGAGGGGCGCCCATGCTCTGGTGATGGTGAGAGCTGTGGTAAATGGATTTCCTCTTTCTTTTTGTCCATTCTCAGAGAATGCACATTTGATGATGAAATTAGAACCTAAACATCAGTAGCCCCAGTCAGATGGGCAGGGATGCAGGCCCTCAGTGAAGGGACAGTACCTGCTAGTCTTTGTGTGTGTGGACTGAGCAGCTGGGAAGCGGAGGGCTGGAGATCTCTCTGCCCTGGCCATGCGGATGCGCAGAGCCTGCGGGGCGAGTGCTGGGCTCTCCTGCCCAGTGCTGGGCACAGCAGAGGACAGCCCAGCGGGAAGCTGCCGTGCTCCCTGCTGGTTTAGAAAATGACTGGAATCTCCATAAAAATGCCAACAAAATCTTTTCCCCCAGAGTTCATTAGGCTGCTCTTAAAAGTTCATATGCTCATAAAGTGCTGGGAAACACATGTGGAAGAGCAGTTGGGAGAGTGCTGGGAAAAGCAGCAGGGGTGGAACGGCTCTGCCCAGGCTGAGTGTGCTCCAGGCCGCCCTGCCCCACGCAGGGACACTGGCCCGGGAGATGGCTCGCTGGGGGACGGAAACTTGCTGTGTGACAGGAGAGACATCTCAAAGGGCTGGGAACCCACATTCAAGCAGATGGTGTGGTGACACCAGGCTGGCCACCAGGAGACACTGGGGAGGCCCCGGTGCTAAGCAAGTGCGATTATAGCCACCAGCTGCTGAGCCTGTGTCCTGCCCGGCCTAAGTCCCCCGCAGCACATGGGTGCTCCTGCAGGACACCTTGGGCCGGCTGGCACCCATCCTCCTCCTCCTGGGTGCGGGACAGGCACCCACACCACGCATGAGGAGCTCTTCCAGATGGGGGTGGGGCGGCTAGCTCTCCTCAACCACCACCCCCTCGCCCTCCCTTCACTAGATCTCACCGACTCTGGCCGTGCGGCCCGCAGTGCACAAGGAGGGCTGGGAAAGCCGGGGGCAGCCATGGGGCCGAGTCCAGGGGCGGGGGCTTCTCACTGCCTGGCAAAGCACAGCAGCTATGGGAGCCCTTTGTGCGAGGCAGGGGCCGTCCATTGTAAGGAGGGGTGACCCTGGAGGTGACTTGAGCCGAAGGTGAGTGGCAGAGCCCGGTTCCTGGGTGCGGGCAGCCCCAGGGTGCAGCAGTGAAGGATGGCTGCAGTGAGAGGTGCTGCTCTGCAGGACGGTTCCTTCCCTTTGCCACTAGGACCTGGACCCGGACCCGGGGGGAGCCCTAGAGATCAGGGTTCCCGACCGGGAAGGCCGCCTCCTCTCAGAAGACCACATGTGTAGTTGAGACCCTGTGGGGCTGCAGCTGTGTCAGGACGAGCTTCTAAGAACAGGTCGGCAGGCAGTGGGACTGGGCCGCCGGGCAGGGTGGAGGGGTCGTGGTCCTGATGATCAGGCTGCCCTTCCTGCCGCAGCCCAGCTGCTCCACTCCTGAGAGCCAGCCCTCTTCTGATGGGGGATGGCAGTTAAGTCGCTGCCCCTATTTTGGTGTAAGATTGGCTGAGTGACGGAAAGGAGCCTAGTGAAGTTTGTCAGGGTGAGGATGAGGAGGAATCGGGGGTGCAGGCCACTTGCTGGGGTTCAGATTTCAGTGCAGTAAGAAAGGGGGTGGGAAGAGGCAATGCCGAGTCCCTGGGAACCCCAGGGTACCCTGCCGCCCCACCCTGCTCGCACCCCGTCCCCAGGAGAAGGGGAGGCTGGCTGAGTCATATTTCGGTAATGAGATATTACTAGAAATACGCATMTCATAAGCAGTAAAGTATCAAACTACAAAACTGTCTTAACATCAAGTGGGCCCACTGTCGGGTGTGACTTTAGGCCCTTCCTCTAGTGCACTCCAGAGGGAACCCACATCTGAAGGCCCCTCCAGRGGAACACGGGGTGCCGTGCTTGCTGACCTTGCCTGATGGGGGCAGCTGGCCTTGCCCTGCTGAAGCATCTGCAGGGCACTGTCCTGTTGGTCATTTGGCAGTGCCTGGCTGTAACCAGTTGTCCCCAGGAAGATCCTACCTCACAAGCTGGTCACAGGAGAGGGGTGGAGGAGACTTCAGAGCTGGGGCTGCAGGGAGTCCTGGTCCTGCATGCCCGGAAGGTACAGAAGGTTTGGCACTTGGTGTGTCATTTCTTGAGAGAGGGTCTGTAACTGTCATTGATGATCCTTGGTCTTGTGATCTGGGCGGGTCAAGGACCACTGCCCACACAGCTGAATGGGTGCAGGCCAGCCCAGGCTCAGGAGAGATCTAGACCCCCTTTGGGTGGAGCAGGCGAGTCCTCCCTCTGCCCAGCCTGCTTTCCATCCTCCCTGCTGCCTCTGCCCTCCTCTGCCCGCATAGAATCCCTCTGCAGTTCCCTCAGCTGCCACCCTGGCTCCCCTGTGCCTCCCCTGTGCCTCTCTGCCCCGTCGCTGTACTGGCGGGCCACAGGGGTCACTGCCAGCGCCTCCCACAGGACACAGAGGCCACGGTATTGGCATTTGGCCTTTTTCTGTCTGCTGGCCTCCTGTGACCCCGCTTCCCTTATTTGCCCATCTTTGTCCACCCCCAGCATGGAGCTCCCATGAGCAGATGGTGTTACAGCACAGATACGCTCTGCAGCCAGGGCTGGTGGGGCCTGGGGGACACCTTGGAGGTGCAGGTGGGCGGGGGTAGGTGGCACAGACAGCCCACCCGACTCTCCTGACTGGCCGTCCTCTCTCCTCTTGCAGAGCCTCGAGCCACTCGATGGGGATTCACAGAGGACTGCCAGTGTGTGTCGCCTTCCCACCTCTCTGTGGCAGGAGAAGTGACCGCAGCGCCTCCTCAGCAATGACGATGACACTGGTATTAACTGAGTGGCACTTATGGATTTTTAGCCCTCGCTCGCAGTGAGCCAGCGAGCCATGTGCCACTGTGAGGGAGAGCCCTGTGCCTGCAGAGCGGGGTGTGAGCGCGGCCTGCCTGCAGAGCGCACCTGAGCCCCGGGAGGCGTCTCCCTCTGCCCGCAGAGCTGCGTCTCGTCCATGTAGGTGGAGCACACACTGACGCTTCATCTGGTGGTGATGAAAATGGCCCCGCAGAATGCCGACTCCGAGTCCATGCAAGTCCAGGAGCTGCCCGTGCCCCTGCCAGACCTGCAGAAGCCTGGAGACCCCGAGGTTGAGAACCACGAGGAGACCCTCAGCGAGGGGTCCATAGACAGGATCCCCCTGCGCCTGTGGGTGATGCATGGGGCGGTGATGTTTGGCAGGGAGTTCTGTTATGCCATGGAAACGGCGCTGGTCACGCCTGTCCTATTGCAGATTGGTAAGTGCTGCTCCTGCCTGTGGGCTTGGCGTCCAGCACAGCTGTGACCCTGCCACCAGTGGTGGAGTCCTGACACACATCCTGCCCTCTCCCCCTTGGCCTGCCCTCAGGGCTTTCTCCTGTTTGAAGCCTGGCTGGAGGTGGGGCGTGGGCCCCTGTGCTTTGTCAGAGCCGCAGGTAGTGTTTGGAGCAGGCTGAGTGCGGAGGGCAGTGGGCTCCCCTGCAAGCYGGGGTTCTGTCGCGCTCGGGCTCCTCACCTCTGAAGTGGGGAAGCGCAGACTGACCCCGCGGGGATAGGGYGCGTGCTCACAGCAGTGCCTGGCGTGGGGATCAGGGTAGACTTCCAGTGCCAAGAGCAGTTGTTTCCAGAAGTGCTGTGGTTCACAGAGGGACGCTGGCACAGTGGAAAGAGCAGGTGTCCCCTACAGATGCCCCTGGGGAGTCTTGGGCTCCAGAAGTTATGTCAGAACTTTGGGTTTTCCTCCTGGTCCCAGGAAGGTCTGAATCTCTAATTTCATACTCCTTGGCCTCCTGAGAGGGCTGGGTGAGGACAAGACTGTAGAGGCCCGAGCTCTGCTCTGTGACCCCACACGCCCGAGGCCACATGTGTACAGGTCAGTCACTTGAGGGAGTTTCTCACCACGAGTCTGGTGCTCTGCGAGAACCGCCTCCGCCCCGCTGTATGYGACAAGCGCAGGTCTGAAGTGCAGTGCAGTGGGAAGATGTGCAGCTCCTCCCCTTGCAAGTGGCAGCCCCAGTGTCATTGGGCTTGACCCAGGTTTCTGTCCCCCTGTGTGAGAGCAGCCTGAGGTGCCATGGGGCTCCTTACCGCTGCCCCGCCCCATCTGTCAGTGCAGTGTTCTGCCGTGACCCCTGGGTCAGTGCACCGCCCCGTTGGCCCTGTGTGGAGCAGGCCAGCCAGCCCACAGGCGTGCGGCAGGAGGTCCTGGGAGTTGCGGAGCGTGACCTGTGATGACTCTTCATTTCCTTTCTCATCCCTTGGGTGTTGCCATGCTAAGGCACTGGGGTGGACAGGACACCACCTCTGACTTTGTGTAGCAAGCTGTCCACAGCATCACTGTAAAAATGCCCCGAGGGAGCTGGGTGTAACCTCACATGCCTTACTCCCAGTGACTGGTGGGGCGGAGGGGTGGGGGCGAAGCAGGAGAGCTCAAGTTCAAGGCCTGCCTCAGCAACTTCAAGGCCCTAAGCAACTTAGACCCTGTCCCAAAATAAAATATAGAAGGGGCTGAGGTTGTGGTTCAGTGGTTAAGCACACCTGGGTTCAGTTCCTGGTATCAAAAGCCCCCAGGGAATGAAACGCAGACCCTCTTTGGTGGTGGGGTTGCTGATTTCTCCACAGGAGAGGGGACCAGGGCAGCAGGCCCCTAGGCCTGAGGAAAGATGGGCTTTGGTGTGTTCAGGGCTGGAAGCCCACCTTTGAGGCTGGTCCCAGGGAGGGAGTAGATGGGTTGCAGCCTGGCCTATCAGACACTGAAGCCCCTTTGGCGTATAGGGACTTGCAGCAAGGAAATCCTGGGAGCTTCATGCTGGTTTAGAAAGTGGTGCGTCCTTCAGTTGTAGCCACACCAACTACTGAGAAAATGACTGGATTCGATGAGCAAATGTTCCCTCCCAGGTCTTCTCGGTGCAGGGTCTGTGCATTAGGGCTTAAACCCCGAACCACAACTTCTTGGACATCTCACACCTTAGGGGTTGTTTATTTCGGGATTTGGGGACAATTTCTCTCTTGAGTGGACAGTCCCTTGGTCTTGACTGAGTCTGCTGCAGGGTGGCCACCACAGTGCTGGCTACCCCACCCTCGCAGCCCTCGGTGCTGGCCCTCTGTCAGGAACCCCATTTCCTGTGGTTCCCTTGGCATCCCCCTGTGGGTGGTGCTCCTGTGTCATCCTGGTGGCCTCCAGCGAGGGTCTGCTGGGGGTTGTCCTCTCCTAGCTCCTGCACAGGAGCCCTGCAGCAGTTGCAGCTCTGCGAGGTCTGCCTCAGGCTGGGGCTCGCCTTTTCATTTTTTTCCTGGTGTCTTTCAAAAAGCACTTTTTGATTTTRATGAGATCTGGCATATTAATTCTTTCCCTTTATTGTTCTTTTTAAACTAAGAAATCTTTGCCTGGCCCAAGGTCATGGTTTTCTCTCAGCTTCTCCTTCTAGATGTTTTGCAGTTTGAACTCTCCCACGAATTCACTTTTTCGCAATGAGCACTGAGGACTCCCCCTCCCTCGGGCGAGTGGGATCCAGCCATGGCAGACACACCGGTTCCCGCGGTCCTCCCCTGCGTTGGCTCTGACTGCCCTCTCACAAGAGAGCCCCCCTGTGTCCGTGCCTGGTGCCAGAGCCAGAGCCAGCRGGCTCTGCGCTGCAGCTTGGGGTTGGGAGGAGACCCGCCCTGGCCTTTGACAGCTCCCTCTGGGCATCTTGGGACCTCCCGTTCCCACGGGAGCTGTGATGCCATCCGCCCATCCCTCCAGAAGAGCTTCCTGGGTTTCCATTGGGACCCAGTCGAACCCGTCAGTCAGCGTAGGGGAATCGACACATGGCGAGTCCTGCAGTCTTTGAAAATGGGTGTCCTCTGTGTACCTCTATGGTCTGGCTTCTCCTTGGGGTGCTTTGTGGCTTACAATGTGTATATCTATCCTGCTTTTTAAGTTTATCCCTGAGCATGACTAATGCTGTTGTGAACACTGTTTTAATTTCAACTTCTGATGGTTCATCACTACATAGAGGAATGGAAATGACTTTCATCTATTCTCTGGTAGCTTGTAAAGTTTATGAGATCTGTAATGATGTTCCCTCTTCTCTGATATTGGTAGTTTGCATTATCTCTTGTTTTGATAAGTCTGGTTAAAGGTTTATTAATTTTATTGGTCTTCTCAAAAGCTCAGATTTTAATTTTGATTTTTTCCCCCTGCCATTTGACCATTTCTAGCTTCTCAAGGTCAGGGTCAGACTGATTTTTAGGTTCCCCCCGACTCAGGGATTGAACCCAGGGCCTTGTACATGTTAGAGGGCACTCAAGACTGGGGTCACAGAGCAGGGCCAGGGAGGAGCATGGATGGACTCCAGGAGGCCCCTGAGATAGAGATGGCCCCTGGTCTTTACCTCCTGCTTTTTTGTGACCTCTTCTAGTTCCCTCTCCTCGAGTAAATTTTTGCTAACCAACAGAATATGGCAATGTTGGGGGATGCAACCACTTTGTGGTTAAGTTACAGAAGACTGCAACTTCCATCCTGCCAGGAGACACTGTGGCCTTCTTGGCCTGCACATTTTGATGGACCAAGTGACCTTCTTAGAGAGACCTGGGGGGCAAGAAACAAGGAGGAGCCCAGTTAGYGAGGGCCTGCAGCTCTGTGTCTGGAAGCCTGTGAGAACCCAAGCCCTGCCTGCGCTTGTCATGATGGTGACCTTCCCAGATGAGCATGGAGGTGGCCACAGCCAGGGCCACCTCCTTAAGTGCAGCTCTCCAGGGCCCCTGAGCCAGAACCACCCAGCTGAGCAGAACCCTTGAGGACTGATCAGGTGTGGCCCGTTACACAGCAGCTGCACTGTGCTGAGCGCAGGGGAGGCGAGCCYACCACAGCTTCCAGTAGCTCTGCAGCAGCAGGCGTGAGGGCAGGGGTGCCAAGCACTCTTGGCCACCTAACGAGACTGGGCCAAGGACTTGTCCAGGGTGCTTTCAGCTTGACATCAGTGCACACGTCTCACCCTACTGTGAGCCCAAGTAGGCGACCACCAAGGAACATTTGTTCTCATGAGAGCCCCGGGTTCTTGTACCCAGCCCCATCTGTTCCCAGGCCCTGATAATGGAAGAGCACCGTGKTTTCACTTTTGATACAGGAGCCTGCATTGTTAACTACAGCTTTCTTCCTTGTTCTGAGTGTTCTTGTAGGAAACTGCTGTAGACCATCAGAAGCAGGAGCCAGACCTTCCTGGTGTAGAGGACATTGGGTTGGCCTGTTGGACATCTGGGCTTGAGAAGTTAAGAAGTCAGTAATTCCAGTGTCGATGCGGTTTTGCTTCTTGACTTCCTCCTGGGAGCTGGTGCTCCAGGAGAACCCTGGCCCTTAGAGTCTGCTGGTACTCTTAGTTATTCAGGTTTTTGCCTGTTTTCTTCCACAGTGAAGTTGGAGGCTGTGGATTTTTATTTTTGGTTACAGGTCCTCCTCTCTGATTCTTAGCACTGTGCACATGTGCTGGACCCTGGACTTGGTGGGATTCTGCATTTCCAAACTTTGGGGAAGATATAGTCTGCCTGTCTGGTCTTCTAGAGGGAGTCTGAGCAGGTACCTGACACCTAGAAGAGGCCTACCCTTCCTTTCTCTGATCCTGAGACAGGATGGGAACTTGCCTCTCCCCAGCACTCCCGAACACCACACTGTGTGTGCTCAACAGGGAGGTCTTCGTCAGCATTTGACTGGGCCAGGTAGGCACCTGGATCCAGCTCTCTGGGTTCCAGATGACCTGCCCCTTTCCTGAAAGTGGTTTGGCCTAGCTACAGTGCTGGGCCTGGTGCTGGAGAGGCTGCTGCCAAGTTTCTAGGTGGGGGGCGGGGGATCCTTGATGAGGAGGTAGGTATGTAGGGAGTGTGGCCAGCTGGGAGCAGAGCCGGCCCCTCCTGTCCCAGTCCTGCACACCTGGGACTTGGCCGACAGGAAGTCTATACAGGAGGGCCAATCCACTGTCCCTGTTTGCACAGGATGTGGTCTGGCCTTAGGAGTAGACCCACCCACAGTTCCCCAGCCCTCCCTGGTGGGGAGCTGTTCTAAGAACACCAGTCTACTACTTTAAATCAATAGCATTTAACATCCGATGCAGAGTGCGGAAGTTGCACTCAGGTAGACAGTGAAGTCTGTCACTCCTGTCTCCCAGGCACCAGGTTCCTGTCCCCTGTGTTGCCTGCCTGCTACACAGATCCCCTGTGAGGCAGCATCTGTGTGGCTCTTGGAGAGCATGTGCAACAGGTGGAGTCAGAGCAGAAAGCCTGC